CAGGTTGGTATAGTTTCTATGGTGTGTGTGTGTCTTGTTTTTTATAATAACAACTAAGTGTCCTAAGCTGCAGTTTGTGGTGTTGTTTGTGTTTCAGTGTGTAGTGTTTGCAGGACAGCTCAATGCTGTAGCAAGTTTGGTGACTGTTTTCTACTTGCTTGCTTACGCTGCGGTTGACCTGGCCTGTTTGGCTCTTGAGTGGGCGTCCGCACCAAATTTCAGGTAATAAAATTGCAAACAAAAACACCTGTCGAGGTAAAATATTACAATTTAAATATTGCCTTTCATAGTTTTAGTACTATAAATTTATTACCAATTCATAGTACCATCATTGAGTGAGGCCATAAATTCTGGTCCAGTAAGTAAGACAACAACCTAAAATTGCTCAGTGACATTAGAAAAGCTGAAAACATAAGGAAGGGTAAAGTGGTTTCTTTTAGTGAGTACAGGCTCAAAAACTAAGATTTGAAAGCCAGAAATTGTAGCACTAGTCTTGACATTGTCAACATTATATAGATTAAATGGTAATTCTAGTATTTTTAAACCTGGGCCTATTTTACATATTTTGTTGTCCACATGTGCCTCAGTCGGTTTGTTTGTTTGGGTTATTGTGTGACTTTGGTGTTTTAAAGAGTTGAGGTGCTGAGGTGATGTACTGGACCAATTATAATATCTTTTATATGTAATATAATTTTATATGTATGTTTAATATATAAAAATAGGGCACAGGTTTAAATGTACTGAAACGATCCTTTAACAATCTTATCATCCTCACTTGGATATATTACTGTCATATATATATTTATGGGACAGTAAAAGCAGTATTTATTGCCTCTGTCCATGCTGTTTTTCATGAGTCCGGTAGCCTCAGTTTTCTGTCTCTGTGTGTTTAACAGACCAACCTTCCAACTCTTCTCCTGGCACACCTGCCTGCTGGGGATCCTGAGCTGTTTGGTGATGATGTTTGTCATTAACCCTGTGTACTCCTCGGGCAGCATCGTCCTCCTGTTACTGCTGCTGCTTTTCCTCCACTTTAGATCGCCCACCAGCAGCTGGGGCTACATCAGCCAGGCTCTCATTTTCCATCAGGTATCTGGATTCCTGCAAAGACACACACACACACAATCAGACATGCAGTTTGCCAACAGTGCTGTCTTCCTTTTGGTTTAGGTGCGCAAGTATCTGTTGATGCTGGATGTGAGGAAAGACCATGTGAAGTTCTGGAGGCCACAGGTGTTGTTAATGGTGGCCAACCCTCGCTCTTCCTGTCAGCTCATCCTGTTTGTCAACCAGCTGAAGAAGGGAGGGCTGTTTGTGTTGGGCCACGTGCAGCTGGGAGATCTGGGTAATTCTCTCTGTGGTTGGTCTGTGATGGCCATCTGCAGCCAACAGTATTAAATTATTCTTATCTTTGAATCATTTTCCTCTGTGGTTTCAGCCCCCCCGATGAAGCTGAACTCTCTTTTACCTTTAAGTCCACAGGCTCGATCAATGAAGGCTACCTGTTGGGCTTTCACTTTCCATCTGCTGCCTCTTCTGCATTATTAATAAGAGCTTTCTCTATATCACTGTGGCATCACACCAGATAGTTTAAACCAGCCAAATGTGTAGCTCTTTGTTTATTAGGTTAAATAGGCACATATCATTTCCAAACTGTAAGAACATCTATTGTGTGATGCACCCCAGGGACACAGAAAGCAACATGCTGAAATATTCTTTTATTCATGTACAAACTCAGCCTTTCTGCCCCCTAATGACAATTAAGACACATTACAACGTCTACAAACAATGAAATTAGACCATTTACTATTAGAGGTAATAATTCACTATGTACATTTACTCAAGTGCTGTACTTGTATACAGATTTGAGGGATGTGCACTTTGCATATTTCCATTTTATGCTACTTGCAACTACATTTCAGCGGGAAATGACAACTGTAGTTAATTAAAAAATAACACGCATACAAAACAATTGTATTGTTAATATTTAATACACATTATTAATGATTAAACTGGTGATACAAAGAGGTCAAATTATCCAATATATATAATATTTGCAAAAAAATAATACAATTTCTTACCAATTTTTATGATTTCTTACCCCATGAATCATTTCCCCATCACCACACACACATATTTTTTTATATATATATATATATATAAGCGGTGTTCAGTTAGTTACAATCTGCAACTCTATCACTAGATGCCGTTAAATCCCTAATGCTGGTCATTTTTAAAGTAAAGGACCAGAGTACTTTCACCACTGTTAAAACTTACCTCCTTTCTGCAAATCTGCTGAAATATGTTTAGTCAAATTAGCGTATATGAAATGAACCCCTATATTGTTTGTGTTTGTATTATTGAAATGTATGCAGTAAATTAATTTCTGTCTTTCCTGTGTTTTAGACACCCTGCCATCAGACCCGGTCCAGCAGCAGTACAACTTCTGGTTGAGCCTCGTTGATAAACTCGGGGTGAAGGCCTTTGTAGACCTGACACTGTCTCCCTCCGTCAGACAGGGAACACAGCATCTACTGCGCATCACAGGGCTAGGTAAGCTCTGGTTATCCCTGTACACAGGCACACATTCAGTCCAGATTATCATGTTTCTTTACTTTCTGTTCTGTTTGTCTCTACAAGGTGGCATGAAGCCCAACACACTGGTTTTAGGTTTTTATGACAGCTGCACTCCTGAGGACTTCTTCCTACAAGACACCGCATTCTGTGACTCTTCGATGGGACGAGGGGCTGAAGGCGAATATAATTTTGGGGTTGACTTGCCTTCATTACAGGCCCATTTCCCCCCAGTCAGACACGTTGAGAGTCCACGCTGGCTATCACCCGAGGAGTACGTAGGGATCATTTCCGACGCTATTAAAATGAGCAAGAACGTGTGCCTAGCCCGCTATTTCTTCCAGTTAGAGGGAGAGGGTAAAGATAGTAAGGTGGACGGGTCAGAGCGGACTATAGATGTGTGGCCTCTCAACCTGCTCCAGCCAGGCAGTCGTGATTATGAGGATGTGTGCAGCCTCTTTCTGCTGCAGATGGCCTGTGTGCTCAACATGTCCAACAAGTGGCGCCACGCAAGAATGAGAATCTTCCTGAATGTGGAGACCGAGTCCAACGACCAGGGCTGGGTGGTAAACGAAGAGACGTTTCGAGAGTTGCTGAGGAAGCTGAGGATCAGGGCGTCCATAAAGATTGTGCCATGGGACACTGTGGTGCAGCACCACATTCAGCCAGACGAGGAGCCTTCAGGAGCTCTGTCCGAGGACTTCCTGTCTGCAGTGAACTGTATGTTGATGGAGCACAGCTCGCAAGCTGCTGTTCGCTTCCTGTACTTACCTCGACCTCCTGCTCATCACAGCCAGTCGCAGCAGTACCTGGCTCAGGTGGAAGCAGTGACCAATAGTTTAGGGCCAACTCTCCTGATTCACGGTGTCACCCCAGTCACATACACGGATCTGTGAGCATGTGCAGTCATGAGTTTTGTCATGTTGTATCATCTGATATCATACACGACCAAAGTATAAACTCTGGTTATATGTAAAATTAACACATAATGTAATGAAAAGTGGATGTTAAGCTATAATATGTAGCACCAGTTACAATACTTTGACCTAATGCAGCTTTTTTGTCGTTTTACTGACGCTTAGAAAAGGACCACAGTCGAGTGCATTTTGAATAAATATGCCACTTGAGCTTTTTGCATTCAGATAGGATATTTTCCTATTTTCACATACTTGAACTGGCTCAGCGACTGAGCCAAGACATGGGAGAATACTAATGTTTGCGTGGTGTGATTTATGTTGATATAACCTCCTGTTTGCATTAGCTTTAAGACAAAAATAAAACTGTCAAAGACTCCTCAGAACTGTTTGTTTTGAGCAATACGGGTTGTCTATGATACTGAATATAGAAATGTCTGTATATAATTAGAATATCAGGGATCAAATGATGAATTTATGGTATTTTCTGATAAGAATTGACCACTTATTAGAACTATTAGAAATTAGAACTTATTTTCCTGGTTCAGTTTCTAAATGGTATCGCATCAATGCATAATATTTGTTGTTTAAACTGTATTTACTTACTTACTGTACTTTTTGCTTATCTGTACTTTCTCCCAATTTCTGATGGTTGTTGGACAAAGTGATTCAAAGAATTTGTGTTTCTGAGCTGAACTGAGTTTAGATAATTGTTTCCCATGCACTTCTGCAAACATATTTTATTTCACTGTTAACTGTGCATCTCTAGTCTTCACAACGGGAACCTTTTGTATGTTTAACCTCAAAATGATGAACAGCATGTGTTGCTGTTTTATGTGCTAACTTAAACAAAATGTATTGCTTCATGATGCAGACTATCAGAAATACACCAAAAAGGGTTACACTGGTGGACACTTTGGAGGTCCATCCTAATACAGGCTCAGTCAGGACCAGGTCCAGGACCAATGATGATTCAGTCAAGATTGAAACCAGAGCTGTTGTCACATCTTTACACAACAATTAATTTACCATGCTTACAAAATACAGAATAAAATGTTACTGCATTGCTGCCATGTTTAGTTTCACATTGTTGCAACACTCACATGGACCTTTGAACAAAACACAAATAGGAAGTTGCTGAGAAAGCCTGTTGTGGTTAATGGTCAATGACAAAGCCTTAAAGGACTGATACTTGTATACTAATAGTCTGTAGATACATATTAAATTGCTATTTGTCATAAAGGTAAATATATGCCAAATGTGTTGTGTATTGTCATCTTTGTATATTGTTAAATCCTAACAGAAAATATGTATTTAAAAGATTAAATGCAACACAGACTATCTGTATATCTGTCAGTGTGATAAGTGTAATAATATAAATATTAATAGAAACAATAGAGATAGAAGGTCTGCAAATATTGCAACCCAACAGTACTTAAAAGGCAACATTTTTGCTCCATAGATAAATAAAAACATAATAATTAATGAAAATATATATATACAAAATATAACAGTATTTATATGTATTGTGTTAATATTACTCACATTTTATGTATGTAAGAGGTGGACCTACAGTGAAGGTAATCTGTTATAATGCCTATATATAGATGAAAAAGGTACAATTATGTCAGTAATCTTCATCCATTTAGTGAACTTCATCCTCTGTACAGATGCAGCCACTTCACTACTCCTCCTTTTCACTGAACTTCTCCTTTTCCATGCACACTCTTTCATATTTGCTGACTTTTGCAAGGTTTCGTAGCTTTCTAATGAGGACTGATGACATACGAAGCCAGTCCGGAAGGAGTATTGTGAGAGCCATGTTCTGTAATATGATGTGAAAGAGAAGGAAAGACGTTAAGATACTGCAGCACCTGACAATTTGTTATGGATCATACAATAGACTCTCATATCTCTGACCTGGAGTGCGTGGGACAGACAGCCGCTGGTGTAGCTGGAGTGACCCACGGTGTTCAAGGCCTTGCAGGCGAACTCTGAAGCACTCTTCACAAAGCAGTTGACTGCAATGTTTTTTGTCATGTTGGTGGACACCATGAAGGGAGCCACACACTGGGGAAAGATGTATTCTGGTTGGACAGGTTGAACTTTGAAACTTTTCATCATCGCTTTTAAAGTGATTTTCAATGTGAGCAAAAACACCACAGAAACTCAAGTGTTCACAAACAGCAAATTCAAAAAGAGAGAGCAGCAGGGGGCAAAGGTTCATTTTATAAGCTTCATGTTTATTCAACTAAAAGAAGCACACTGTTCAAATTAGTCTTCGGCTGTAACCTCAAATATATGATCTTAGTCTTGTGCATTATATGTGATCTTCTTCTGATATCCTCATGTAAACAATCTATAATCTAAGTACACACTCAAGTATAAGATTGTCCTCACTGTGTTTATCATCTTATTAAGTGTTATACTGTGCTTATCCGTGAATTCGAGCTACACAGATGAATTGCTCAGGCCAATAAATGTGCTGATATCAGCTAATCAAGCCAATCATCAATCAAGTAGTTGCAGTAGAAAATGTTAATAAATATATTTGAGCCCATTTAGAAAGGGGCTCTATTACATAGTTTGTCCACTAGAGAGCACTGGCATGTTTGTTTTTCAACTGTAAAACGGCCCTGCTCACTTTTTTCTATTATTGACTCTTACTGTAAAATAGATCAAAGTCAGTGCAATTAAATGATTTCAACCTATTACCAATAATTTTAAGAATAGAGTGTCAATTTTTCTTAATTCTATTTTAGTAATCTGTATTATTTTTTCTTATTCATTTATGACATTTATTTCAAAATAAATCTTCTGTTGTTTTCTTTCAGGAACAGGTTGAAATTATATCTTGTTTTAAGAAAATAAACTTTTTAGGGCTAAATAATAGTAAAATGAACTTTCTCAGTGGACAGTTTATGAAATGTAATGCAGATTGAGTACATGTGAATTAGCTCAGTTTTGGAATTTGAAATACTTTACCTGAACAATAATTCCCTTTGACTTGTACTCAGCATGGAGACACTGAGAAAAATATGTTACAAAAATCTGAAAAAAAAGAAGAGAGTCAAAGTCACAAAACAAGCAGACCAGTGGGTGTCATGAAGCTGTGCACTGATCGGTGAATGTGGTCAGTGTGTGTTTGAATGGATGTGTGGACGTAATTAACAGAACATCTGGATGAGAAAGTACCTTAGTGGCGGAATAAAGGGACAACAAAGGCTGTGGATGGACGCCCACTTCAGAGGAGATGTTAATGATCAGCCCTGTCCCTCTAGGAAGGAGATGGAAGACAAACATCCATAAATTCATCCTATATTCTCATTACTTCATATTGATCATTAACTTCTGGATGTTGGTGATACCTTTTAACCATGCCTGGAAGAACCAGTCTGGTCATCTGAGTGAAGAAAATATAAATCAGCATTTGTTTTTTTATGCATTAACCAAAAAACAAAACTGTGTTCAGATAGAGTGGAAAAGGTGAATGCAGATCCCTGAACCTTAAAAGCTCATAAACACACAATCATACAGTAAACACTCATTGATATCTTACTTGAGGCACAGACAGCATGTTACAGTTGACAATCTGAGTGATTTTCTGTCAGAGTAAACACACAAGGGAAACTATGTGAGAGACATGTTGGTAATGTGAGAGAGAAATCAGAGACAAACATGACCTCTAACTGCCTGAGTTAGCAGAAATAAATAATCCAGTGTATTGACATTTAAAGTGCAAAACTCACCTGTTCAGCATCTGGTACTTCCAGGAAATAGGCGAAATGATCAGAATAGGTCATTCCTACATTGTTAACTGTGTGGGTTACAGAGACACAAACAGCCTTTGTTAATAAGCATGTGTCTTATGTCAATCTTCTTCAAACTGTTGAATCTGTTCCTTTACCCTTCAACTATTTGGCTTGTCATACATTTTGCATTGCTAATTTAGGTCAGCCAGGGTTCAGGAGGAATTTTATTTATCAATAAGTAACCAGGCAGTTGAATTAGCCTCCAAAAGGTAAGAAACACATTTTTAGGTTCAAAACATAGCCAGCAGGTGTATCAGCCTCTACAGAAATAGTTTGATACTATCCACCTACCAGCTACTCTACAGCTCATGGGGGGTTATGTCAGGGAGGGGCTCTAACTGGACTAGCAGTGACTTGCTAGAGTATTGTTGTTGAGTCTGGTTGCTAGGTAACCAGTGGAGACACTAGAAAGGCACGGGCAAACAGAGCTTTACCAATGTGTTGTTGTGAAATTAACACATGGGTAAAGAACAAAACAAAAAACATGATAATAATGAGCTTTAGAGGTGCTGATTTTTGTTACAGCCAGGCTAGCTGTTTCCCCTATTTATGGTCTTTAACCGGTTGCTGGCTGTAGCTTTAGCCTATATTTATCATAAAGACATGACAGTGGTATTGTTTTCCTTATGTAACTCTCAAAAAGATTGAGTATTTCCCAAAACGTTGAACTATTCCTTTAACCAGACAGAGCCATTGTCATAATCATTTCCTGAAATGTGTTGATTGGTCCCCTGTCCAGCCACTGGACTTTTCTTCATTAAAGTTTTTTAGAAGAATTGCTTTAACGGTACTGATCTGTATAACTTTCTAAGGATTTTTCTTTGCCTGTAATTGGTGCGCTCATTACCCAGAATTCCAATCTCCAGTCCCTGTAGTTTTTTAGCTATAGCAGGGTAGATTCTATGGCCGTCAGTGAAGTCCACTTGTATGGTACGAGTTCTTCGTCCGTGTTGATCCTCTGAAGGAGACCAAAAGTATTTTGGATTATATCTTATTAAGAGTTTCACATGGAAAGACAAATGTGTTTTTAAACAGCAGTAGTGCACCAGTATTATTTTAATTTCACTCACCTATCTCTTTGGCAACCATTTGAAGCTTATCACTGGATCTGCTCACCAAAATAACATCCAGGCCTCTTCTTGCCAGCTAGGAGGAAACATGCAGACAGACAAATCTAGTGGTTTTGTTTACCAATAAGAATATTCTGAACTTGTGAATCTGAAGCACTTGATGCGTCACAACAAGTATCACATAACTGCCTACTGTGAAATTGTTGTACAAGGAGGTTGGAGACTCACCTCACTGGCATAAGCTTTACCAATGCCAGATGTGGCGCCAGTGACAACTGTACAAAGGAGAAAACACAGACATGTTAGAAGAATCCTCTATTTTAAGATTATAAAAACCTGTCCCTTTGTTTCCTCTGGCGTTAAAACATTAACACTAGAACTTTTGACACAGTGACCACAAGCTGACAGTAATTTACCAACCACTATTCAACCGGTTCTGCAAAAATACAAACACATTTTTTGGATTTCACTCACTTTGCAGTTCTAAATTGTAAATTTTGCACAAATATTTTACACATTTCTGCATTTCAGTCTGCATGGCTAAAGGATTGCCTTTCAAAGTTGTTATTGTTGCATTTGTGCATTATTGCACGTATAAACCAGAACCAAAGGCCATTTCTGAGCTGTGAGTGGTAATACTTCAGAGAAAGGCGCATCCCCTGTTGCTTAGACAGAGAAAACACCCCCTGCTGCAATATGTGGATAAAATCATACAGAAACAGAAAATGTGCCTTTTCTTTGGTATATACTGTTTGGAATGAGAAAATTGTCTTATGTAAGAAGCAAAAACAACTTGAGTTAAAACTGAAATTGAAGTTCAATGTGTGTCTGTAAAAGACTGAAATGTTTGCAGGCAATAAGACGGAAATGTCCCATCAAGTAGGAATGTGAACAGCTTATCAAGCCCCTTATCAATCTGTCTTCACAGAAAGGAAGTCTGGTCTGTGCTGGAAACTAATGCAACAAAATCCAAATATTCCCAAACCTCAGCTTTCTGCACTCCACTGTTCAATAACTTACAGTCTTTAATAAGATCTGCATTATCCACCTGTTTCAAAACTGCACGTTCCCATTTGCAATTGACCACACACATACACACACATTTTTGCCATAAAAGCAACTTGTAAGAGATCGTAAAGTACATTTCCTTTGATGTTACCTGCCCATTGCCCACATGTCCTTAAATCAACTTGCCAAAGTTCTGACAAAACAAACTCTCTGAATCCACACCAACATCTCCAGGTCAGTTTCAGCAGGTGGAAGACAACAGTAAATCCCCCAACGATGACCAGCATTTCAGTGACTGACATTTTGCAGTAGAGCCCCAGACCGAACTGGATCGTAGCACGATGGAAAAAGGTTTTATAAAAGGTTTTATATTAGAAGAAATGAAAATGTTTTACTGTGCTCCTCCCACACTGCTCCACCCCTCACTGTGTCACTGCTGTCATCAGGGTGAGGTTGAGCAACACCCCTGGAACCACATGATGTACATGAATCTTACAAACTCCCTACAGAATGAACTGTCTAATAATCTTGCAGAAATAGCCACCTCAATGCTACTGCAGCTGATTATTAAAGCTTCTAGAAGATACTCAGGATCATCTCAGAAATGTTACTTAAATGACTGTTTAAATATTTGTTGACGATTGTGCTTTTCTGATTGCAGGCCATTCCGTAAGAATAATACCATTGTTTTAAAAATCAACTAAAAATGCCAAATTACAATTAAATGCAATCTTGGATGATACAAGAAAAATGAGAAAATTTACAATGTCAAAGAGCTTTATCTAAGATGTCCTGTACAGTAATTGTGTAATTGTAACTTGCATGACCTGGAAAAAGATGCTTGTCTCCCTCAGCTTATCATTAAAAACTCAGAGTTTTGTAACTTAAGAAAGGAAAGTGAAAGCGATTTCTATTGGCTGGTTGAGCTCCTCCAGTATTCTTGAATGCATATTAGAAATTTAAATGCTATCTTAAAGGAATACTCCAGCAATCTAGTAATTCACTTCAATACAGCTGTGTGATTTACAGAAAACAGAATTTAGAAAAAATAATCATCATCGTACAGTTCCCATAATGCATCTTGACAGTGTTTTTTGTTAAACTTTGCTTAATAAATTCCCACATCTTTTAAACTCCATACCTTCAGTCTGTAACACAGACGTTATCGTATGAATCTGTAGTCTCCTGGCCTAAACTGATATAACAATGATGACATCGCTATGACATCATCAGGGTTATTTTCTCAGACTCCCACAATAGCCATGACATTATACAACTTTCAATGATAAGTAAGGTGGAGTGTAAAATTTCATGGGGTCACAACAGCACAATCAGTCAAATAACTCACGTATAGCACAAGCATCTAATCACAAAAGCTCAAAACAAACCTATGACTCCTCCAGTAGCTGCAATGGAGATAAAAACAATAACGTAGTTGTGAACGTGACACAGTATTTCTTTCAGCTGATAAGTCTTTGCTGCAATCTGTCAGCAGAAACAGTCCTACCCACTCATGTAAAGGCAGTGTCTGTACATAGATAAATGGCAAAAAATGCTCTTGAGTGATAATAATTGTGACAAATTTCTGGTTGTGCATACATATAGAGCCCTGTGGGCCCAATGGTGAGGAAAAAGCTGCTTATCATGAAATATAAACACTACTGTATTTCTCTGACAAATGATTGTGGTTCACTGTCACTGTGCAAGTTTAATTAGAGCCGCACTCACAAACTGTGTAAAATCTCTGCCCTACCACTTTGACTTTAATGCCTTTATTTTTTAACCTTGAACACTGAACAACGTGAATAAAATTAGAGACATACGACAAATTAACTTGGAGTGAGTAATTATTATTTTTACATAACAGAAGGAACACAGTATCTCAACTGTATGAGAAGTCCTCCTTGTAACGCCATCAACCACCAGAGGGTACTTATCTATATTGAAAACCACATAGTCAGGATGACAACTTCTGTGCCCGGCTGCTAAGGTGCTGGAAGCCTCAATGTGTTTAAGCTGATAGAAAAAAACATATATAGTAGCCAGTAGATTTAAGTGTCAATTAAAAAAGCTCCTTTTGCCATATCTTTCTTTCCATATCTCCTCATCTTGGCTATTCAGTGTGTCCAATGCCCTGGAACCGTAGAGAGGAGAAAAACTTTGAAATGACAGGCAAAAGGATAGTTCACATCATTGCATCTGATAGCTCTCACAGCATGCATATAGTTTTACCTTTATGAATCTTATGACATCCGCATTTCAATAAATAAATCATATTTTTCACAGAAAAACTCCTGCCTGATCTTGGATGTCTAAAAACCCTTCAGAGGACCTCAAAAATGCTGGGCTAAAGCTGGATCAGAGGGAAAAGTATGTCAGTGTTTTAGAATGGTATTCTTGAGGATGTAAGTGGTGCTGCAGGAGACAGAATAGCTTTTATCTTTTTCAACACTTTTTCAACACTTCTTTATAATTTAAGAAAATACAACTTGTTAAGCTTCATACACTGGAAGGAGTATACTCTGTATTTTTTTCATTGCAGCCTATAGAACTGGTTCTTTGGTAAACAATATTTCAGAGCTTTGGTATGAGCACTGATCACTAGAAGCAATGTATTCCTATCAGTTTCTATTTGATATAGGGTAGTGATGAAGGCACCATCTGCATAATTCAATCCCCACATCCAAAAAACACACATTTACTTCTACTTTATTGTTCACTTTACTATTTTATAGACCACTGTGGGGGCAAAATGCGTTTCCAGAACAGTGACAAGAGGTTCCCTGTTACCTAACACACATTTTAAACAAGAAGAGCGATGTACGTTGGCCCTTTAGCGGAAGTAAGATTCCAGACTGCAGCAGTTGTGGATCATTTGCAGCCTCTACCGGCTGGTTAAGAGGTGCGAGGCATCAGCAGTCAATGGCAGTATAAAAGAGAGCAGTCAATAAAATAGGTAATTCAAAAATAGTGAATGACTGCAACCACTAGAAGTCATTAATCATACAGTTATAAATCTGCACAAAAAATATGTATAACTGTGGACAGATACACACATATACACACACGACCATACACATGATCCCCTACCCTCTGAAATGCTATTCAGGGAAGATTCCTTACTTTCCTACAGCTCTGAACCCGTGACCTTCGAAAGACTGAGTGATGTCAGCTGTGGAAGGCGGCCAAATTAATTCACCTGATCAATTAAGAGGGTTGGCAGAGGAGGCAAATGTCTAAGTCTCTCTGTCACTCCTCCCACAGGAGTTTCCTTTTCAGTATTTGATTAATTGGCTTTGACAAGCTTCACCGGAAAAATTAAAGAATTCCAAGTATGATGTACCAATTGATGGTCAAGTTACACGACAGCCTTAAAAGTCATGTGAAGTCAAACTCTCAATACTACTTTACATGCCTTGCCTATATGACTGTTGACAACATTTAGGGCTAAATAAAAAGAAAACCACAGGTGAGAAGTGCTGGTCAGTGCTACTTCCTCTGCAGCAAACTGGTTGTCAACTGGGGCTGGTTCTATGTCTGACCTTGCTTTGAAGTGATCTCTGTCAGTACTGTTAGCCATGTCACTAAGAGGCTTGCAGGCAGCAGATCAGTTTAGCACAGCCTCACCTGTCTAATCTGATTACTTCAACAAGGCTTCTATCAATGTGCAAGGCAGGGCAAACAAGAACAAACACATCGTCACACTTCCATATGCAGGGGACCGTCTTTGTATTCCTAAAGAGTAGCAGAGGCCACCAAAGTCATGGAGAATGTGTTTGCTAGTATCGTTTATGAGCATCTTTATATTTAAACGTTTACCTTCCCTACCAAAAGATTAAATTCCAGCTGTAATGCTGCAGTAAAGTGCACATGCTGCCAGATCAAGAGAGCAAGAGCAGACTTTCAGTGGCTTACCACAAGATATTTTTGTCCTTCGGCTCCAGCTCACATAGTTCCTTTGCTTTTATTAGCATTGCTCCCTGTATGTTAGATGCTCTGTGACTATTATCTTGTCCAGGAATTGAAGCCTGACCTCAGGAAGGGAGGGAGGCTGCAAAGATGTCATCAGGGGCATGAAGCCTCAGCTAATGTGAAGGAAGTGTGACATGTTAAAGATACCTTGACATAATTTATTAAACAAAAGGTATCATTTAGCATCGATTATTGAGGAAATCATGATGTTTTAATCCAAGCTGTAGTTGGCTAAATTATGGGATATGAGAAAGACTTTTTATTGGTGTTTGAGCCATCCTAAATTTCATTCTTTGACAACTCTAGTAAGATTAGGGGGGCACTGGAAAAAGCATGAGTGATGGTCTCAGAAGGATTTGAACTGCAGCAGCAAGGTCATGCAAGGCTACAGACGCAGGCACCTTAATCACTGTACCAGCTTCAAGTCCCAGGTCATTACATGCAATTATATAATTTAAAGTAACCCTTGGTGATAAGCATGTAAATATTAACCCTGCAAAAGTTTTTTTAGTTCTGCTTTGAGTGAGTAAGGTTGTTTATAAATCCATTTTATTTTTGGCTTTGGGAACATTTATAGCGGTTGGGAGTTTGTCACTATTGACTATATGATGAGCAATGATGGAAAGCAACACTTTGATAAGGACAGTGAACCCTTCTTTTATTTAAAGGCAAAGTAAATAAAATAGCTCTACACAAGATCTTATCCTTTTTGTAGACCTGTTTTCCTAATAAATAGGACAGCGGATTTGTGATCTGAGAAACTCCTCTTTCATTTAACAGCAGTTCTGAGCTGTGACTCATCCTTTATTTCAAACAGGTGGAGGTGAGAGGAGGGACAGGAAATCAGCCCAAGCTCAGTGCTGGCTGCCATTTTCATCACAATATTTTCCAGTTCTGAATAGTAGTTGAATCCATCGGCCAAACAGTCTTACAATGCTCAAGGTTTGTTTAAGTTTATTTTAAAACCATTGTGAACATGTACATATTTCTAGGCTATCAGTGCCAGCATTAACTTTCACCTTCTTTTTCATATCCTCCAGCCCTCCCCCACACACACACTCTTCACACACTATGGATTAAAAGCTAAAGAGGCCTAAGAAGTCAAAGCTTGTCAGTCCTTCCCACTCTTCCCACTCTGTTACCTGTTACCTCTCCCCAGCAATCTGCCAATTCAATTTTTTACCAGTCCAAACTCTGCATCAGGGTTGCAACTCTTCTCACGCACAGTCCCTTGCTCTGTGGTTTGGGGTCGGTCCCAGTCCAAAAAAGGGACAGCAAGAACTACAGCAAAACTGAACTACTGGAAATGTGGAGATTTCACTATCATCTTTATGGAAGCTGGATGCAAGAGGAGATAATTTGATTTTTATTTTTTTTTTAACTTTCCATACTGTTTGGATTACCTATGATATTTTCCCCCAATAATAGGACAAATATACCTTTTCCTGCTGTATACTTCTGTATACTTAATCCACCTGGAAGTGGATGGTGCTATTCAACGACAGGCTCTAACACTGACATGTAAAACAAAAAGCTGCTCCAGGTCAGTATCGCCTCTTATTAAATCGGTTTCATTGATTTGCCACTGTTAAGGGTAATGGTTTTGTTAATGTGTCTAATTCATCCATCACCAAATCTGTTTGCAGCAGAGCTTCTCCAGGGACTGCTGGAACACCAAGCATTGTATAAATGTGTCATAGATGTTTAGAAAATTGCTCTATATATGAACTGTAAGAATGATTTTGAGGAGTTAACATAATTTGACCTATTTCTTCTTTTCAGTAGCACTTAAAAAGAATAAGGCTAGGACATTAGCCAGTGCTCATCTTAACCTATTAGCAACTGATAAGCCAATGTCAGTATTAGCCACTTTAGAAGGCTTGCCTTAAAGACAAGGAAAGGAATCAAAGTCTCATTTTGTGCTTTTAAAGTGTAATTTCTGAACCACTGAAACCCACAGGTGGTTTACATGTAAGAGTTAATCTAAAATAGGTGTCCTGTAAATATAAACTAGAGATAGACCGATCCAGGACACTTTATGGGCAGACATTATCTTAATGCAAATATAAATTGGTATCAGTGTTTATGTCAGATGATAAGTAACCAGAAATTGCAGAACAAAAATGTTAAACTAAACTTGACGTAGAATTGTGAGTATTACATAGTTTGTCCACCAGAGAGCACTCACAAATAAATGTTTTAACTGTTTCATATCTATTCTCACTTAGCATGTGTCTTTGTTATAATTATTTAACAAAACATAAACAAATGAAAGGCATCTGTATGTTTGTTATGTGTTCACGTAAAAGAAAACGTATCAGTCCATATATGATCAGATTTTAAAACCCTGAAATATCTAATAAAATCCACTATAAATGTTGGGTTTTATATAAACATAAGCACAAGATGGTAGTTTTTGTCATCCACAGTTGTTAGACCAAAGGTAATACTAATTCTCTAAGCTGTGGAGTTTTTTTTTAACTATCTTGATAAACCAATATTGTATTGGTGGAACATGTTTATTTCTTTCAAGCTGAGCTTCCATATACTTAATAAGCAATTCTCTAAATTTTCACAACTGCAGTTAAAATTCTCCTCACCACCAGCAAGTTGCTCAGCTTAAAAAGTTTACTTGTGAACACTGACTAAAATATCAGCTGTGTTTGTTCATTAGCTACAAACAGAATTTAAAAGTAGGTTTTTAGAAACTTAAAATCAAATTTCAGTTAGTCTTTTAGTGTCCTTGTCTTTTAGTAATAAAGTCTCTAAATTCCGTTTATCAATGAAGATTAATAGGGCCTGTCCAAATCAACTTGAAACACCAGTGTAAAATCTATTATGCTATCATTTAATCTTGAGCTATTTCTACCAGCTAATACACATTTAGATGCTGGTTTCAAGAATCTGAGGGGGGGCTTAGTGTTAAAGAAGAGGAATCGTCCACTAATATTTGGCTGAGAAGATCTCAAGAGATTGACTTTAGAAGGGAAAAGAGATACCAAGACCATATAGAGACATCTAGGACAGATTTAGCCACACGTTATCTGGCACTTGATTTTTTAAAACTCTGTGGCCCTGGCAGAGCTAATCAGCTTGCCACACACATGCCATTAATTCTCCAAGCAACAGCGCTGGCACTCTGGGCATCATGTCCTCGGTGAGACAGATGGATGCTGATAAGATTCAACATCACATTCTGTTAAACAAAACAGCTCAGCAAGATGCAAGTTCAGGTCAGAGATCATGTCTGTTTTCTGGAAAAGGCCTGAGGTTTCGCAGAACAACAGAAAAACAGATCACACTGAGTTGTCATGCTACTAACTTTCTAATTCTTTCCACCTTTTCTTTCTTATTTTCTGAAGGGAATGATGGCTTGGGGTTGTCTCATTACCTGTCCAGCTTTGGACTAGAGGCCTGCTGAGTGCCAAGGGAGACAGTCCTATCCTTAAAAACACACTCACTGTCACACTAGACACCATAAACTCTCTACTACTCTGTGTCTGAAGCATCAGAATAGTTGTGTGAGGAAATGGCAAATCACAGGGACCCTCGCTTTCTGCACAACCTGTCCTACCACCCACGATGGCAGCACGACTCAATAAAAATGAAGAGAAAAAGACATATGTGGACAGCGGCTACGAACAGTTGCAGTGAATATAGTCTGTTTAAATCATTAGCAGCTTCATCATCATTGTCATCAAGATCATTGTCATCAAAACCACAGTTGCCATCATCCCCAGTGCAACGCTCCAAAAGCAGGTGGGGGAACTGGTTTCTTCTGCCCTTACTCATGGTCTCATTTCTGCCCTGTCAAGCCTGGGCGACCACATTCAAGGTGGCCCTGGTTGGACCCTGGACGTGTGACCTCTTGTACTCCAAATCCCTCCCTGACTTGGCAGCCCGACTTGCCACCACCCGCATAAACAAGGACCCCTATCTCAACAAAGGCTACTGGTATGACTACACGCTAGTCAATGAGGACTGCAAGTCCTCCCGTGCCCTTGCTCGCTTTTCTGACCTGGAAGGTTATGGTGCTGCTTTCCTTGGCCCTGCCAACCCAGGCTACTGCTCCTCAGCTGCTCTGTATGCAAAAGAGTGGGATCTTGGGATTCTTTCCTGGGGTTGCCTCAACCCCAACATTAAAAAAGGAGGGATGTACCCCACCTTCCTGCGACCACTGCCACTGTCCTCCCGTGTGCTCTTCACTGTGTTGCGGTACTTTCGTTGGGCCCATGTGGCCATAATCTCAGAGGAGACAGATTTGTGGGAATCCACAGGACAGGAGCTGGCCTCATCACTCAGGGCCCTTGGCCTGCCTGTCAACCCTGTGGTCACTATGCAGGAGGACAAGGACGGGCCGCGGAGAGCCCTGGCGACAGTACGGGAAGCAGACCGCGTCAGAGGTGAGTTGTAGATGTAAAGATGATTGAAACAACCAAAAAAAAAAATGCATAACAGCATTATAACAACACCCACACAGTTTTATTCCATGTGATTGAGTGAGTAATCCCTCCTCGCTCTCTCCATAGTGGTCATTATGTGCATGCCTTCTGTCCTGATTGGTGGGCAATCCCAGTACCAACTTCTGACAACAGCCTTGGCCATGCGTATGATTGACCGTGGCTACGTGTTCATTCCCTATGACACCCTCCTCTACGCACTACCCTACAAGGATGCACACTACTATTCACTAGGCAATGACACCAAGCTGCGGAAAGCCTATGACGGGGTCCTCACCATCACTATGGACTCTGGAGAACGCAATTTCTATGAGGCCTTTAAAGATGCTCAGGACAGCTATGAAATTCGCAGCACCACTCCACCAGAGCAGGTGAGACTCTGTATTGTATTGTAATAATGGATAGAAAAAGATGACAAATCTAGAAGAATTGAAAAAATACAGCCACTTATACAAAAATTAGAATTCAGTCAAGATCATAACATCACTGTCTCTTTTGTCAGGTTTCTCCGTTCTTTGGCACCATCTATAACATGATGTACTACATTGCTATGGCTGTTGAGCAGGCCCGCTCCAATAGAGGCCAGTGGGTGACTGGTCAGATCCTAGGTGATAGCGAGGGCGGCTTTGATTTTGAGGGCTTCAATCAGCATCTGGGGGCCGGCAAGAACGGTAAAGGCATGCAGGCTGGCTATGTAGTGCTGGACTACAGTGGCATGGGCACCTCTCTCTACTCCACTCATACTCTGGCGGCTACTCATACAGATGGCAGGACTGGGGGATTGAAATACCTCAGTCGTTCGATCCATTTTGCAGGCAGTACGCCCTACTCAGACTCTGGCTGCTGGTTTAGCCCATACTTTGCCTGCACTGGAGGTGAGTGTATTAGTAGTGTCATTGCAGGAAGTAAGTATAAGCTGGCACGTTGGTCATTGCTGAATTCAGTTCATTCAAATTCTGTCTCTGTGTTTTTTCTTCTCTTCTTAAAGGCTTGGATCCAGTCTCTCTAGTCTTTCTTTTCTTTGTGTTCATTGGATTGGTTGCATGTGCAGCCTACTTCTTTATTGTGTTCAAGTATGTACAGTAAAATATCAAAGACTTATATCTCATCCAGTTCAGTTGAGTGTGATTTAAAAAAAAATATTATTTTATTATCTTTTATCTTTGTTTGTCTGTGCAGGAAAAATGGCAGGGTTGGGTTCAGCTTTGGAGGTACTGGTGGAAGTGGATCAACAAAAGTAGTCCTGACCCTGGATGACCTGGTCTTCATCAGCACTCAAATCAGCAAACGGGTCAGTTGTGTGCTGAATCATTCACAACACTCACAGTATTTCGTCGTGGTTTCCCTCTCTCTTCTTTGCAAGTATGTGATGCATGAAAGTTGTTTAACTGTAAAAGATGATCTCATCGAAGTTGACCTGTTCTTTTTGAACTGTGTGTGTGAGCAGAAGCTCAACGACGAAAGTATCTTGAGAAGCCAGCTGGATATGAAGACGCCTCACCACTCGGTTTCCGGTCGCAGCTATTTGGCCTCAACACCAGACAGCTCAAATATTGCTGTGTTTGAGGTGAACCCAGTCTGTCTTGATGCATTCAATAAACTCCTGTTTTACCCATGCCTTTGGATGTTTTGGGTTTCACAAAGACTTTGTGGTTGTGTGTTCATCCCAGGGTGACTGGGTTTGGTTGAAGAAATGCCCCAGTGGAGTATCAAGTGTCAACAGCAGCACTGAGTGTGTCTTTGTCAAGGTAAGTGAGTGTGTGGACACGTCTTTCATTATTAAAACAACTCTATTTTTCCTAGAAAAACCCTAAATACAGACTAGTCTTTTTCTGTGACTACACATTGATTTATTGCCATCTTATTTTGAATCTAAAGAAATAACAAAATGGCTGACTGCACCAAAACAAAAAATATACATCCACCACACAAACCTGATTGGTCACAGCCTTGATGTTTCCTTTGTCTTCGTATCAGCTCAGAGACATGAGGCACGAAAACCTCAATCTGTTCTTGGGACTCTTCTTTGACTCTGGGATCTTTGGTGTTGTGACCGAGCACTGCTCCAGGGGCAGCTTGGAGAATCTGCTCAGCAATGAGGAAGTGCGTCTCGACTGGATGTTCAAGTCTTCCCTGTTAATGGATCTAATTCGAGTAAGAGAGACAAAATTACCTACCCTTGTTTCATTTCCCACTTTGTCATGTTTTTTCACCACACACATTTCCCCCAAACTGTTATCAGGGAATGAAGTACCTGCACAATCGTGACATCATCCACGGACGGCTCAAATCCCGTAACTGTGTGGTAGACGGGCGCTTTGTATTGAAGGTGACAGATTATGGGTTCAATGAACTTTTGATTGCCCAAAACCTTGACACTGACGAGGAAAAGCCTGAGGGTGAGTTCATGTGCATCCACAAACTAATCCAGTGACATACATAGATTTTTTTTGTTTTTCTTTAATAGTTGTGCATCTTTTTTTAATAAAGATCTGTTTTGGACGGCTCCTGAGCTGCTGCGAAGTTCCAGTCTGAGGAGGAGGGGCACTTTCCGTGCAGATGTCTACAGCTTTTCCATTGTCTCGCAGGAGGTCATCGCTCGCTCTTCACCTTTCTGCACGCTGGATATGCCTGCCAAGGGTTAGTGATACGGCACTAGTAACCCCTAACCCCCAAGTCAAAAAAGAAACAATGAAATAGTAGAAGGTATTGGAGCCATGTGCAAAAAGTTTATTTATATTTTAAATGTTTTCGGCAAATTATGTTTCCCACCGGAGTAAAAGGCCAATGACCGACCTGTGGTGATAATAGCATGCTATGAGCTCACCTCATACACAGAGTTGAAAAGTAAAGCTGAAAAGAAAATGACAAATACTATAATTGTTGCTGAAAATGCTGCACTGAGCCTGCTTTTATTACCAGTGACATTTATAGTTATTTGGCAAATTTGCTGTTTAAAATAGTCTGTTTTGTGCATTTCTGTGTGTTGACAGAGATTATTAGCAAGGTCAGAGATCCTCCTCCGTTGTGTCGGCCTGTTCTGTCAGTGGACGAGGCCCCGCTGGAGGTCATACAGGTTATTAAACAGGCCTGGAGTGAAGATCCGGAGAAGAGGCCGACCTTTGAGGAAATCTTCAAACAGGTAAAAGCACTAAAAACACAATTTGATCTGGATCTACTCCTCCTTATATGTTTATTTAGGTGGAGATTTCTGTTCCCTTCTTTTTATGTGACAGTTCAAGAACATCACCAAGGGAAAGAAGACCAACATCATCGACTCTATGCTGCGCATGTTGGAGCAGTACTCCTCCAACTTGGAGGATCTGATTAGAGAGAGGACAGAGGAGCTGGAGGTGGAGAGACAGAAGACTGACAAACTGGTGGCTCAGATGTTGCCCAAGTGAGTGTCCAGCAACTTTAAGTGATACATGACAGACATAATAAAACTGGTGTCATGCTCACAGAGCATCAGCACAAATACCATAGAATAAATGATGCCCCACCCTGTATATATGCATTACGTTAATGCACAACTTTATTTATTTATATTTTAAAATAACTTTATTCTTGTGTGATTTTTGT